TATATATGTGTACAGCAATAGAACATTATTATTATTTTTTTTTTTTATTTACGGTTAGGGGTTAGTTCGAATCTGAATTTGATCGTAAGGAGTACTAGTGAAAATATCTAATAAGCAGCCCCACAAATCCTCATCTGCATTTTGCATTCTAAAACTGTACGTATGACAGTATAGATGGATATTGCTGCTGTGATTGTGATGAACACGTCACTCACCTGCATGTACAGCAGTCCCAGTGTAGTCAACAGCTCTGTGTTCTCTGGAGAAAACCTGAGACGGACACAGATAGAGATAACAGTGGATATTTCAACCCAAAATCAAAAGGACAAATTATATGTTAAGGATGTTTTTAAGGCCATTACGAGTTTTTACACTCTGACATTATTCTCCTGACAATTAAGCACATTTGGCTCCAGCTGTCATTACTGTAACACAACGATTCCCAAACATCAGATTTGAAACATTAGTACTTTAAAGGATGACAGAATGTTGATTGTTGGATGAACTATTCCTTTCAATTTCCATTCAAAGTATCACACTTCAATCGACCAATCAGATTTTAGAGGCTTTAGATTTTTCAGATCTTTGCTTACTATAAGCTGATTTTAGGGGTAGTTAAATGTACGATTATAAAGCATATTGATTCAGATTCAGACTGTGGCAGGAGACATGAGAATGATGAAAGCAGCGAAAGCTCCTCCATCACATGCGTGTTTGAGCAGCTCATGCCAGCAGCAAGCTGTTATTAATTCATGCTGGCTGTGAGGCACATCTTCCCGCTATCGCGAGGTGAAGCGGGTGGAAAAGTGGGAGCTCTGAAAGCTCCTCTCATTACGGCGCGTCCCACTGCTGCACGTTACTAATTCATCAGCTCGGTGGGAGGGCTGCGATAATGAGGAGATCTCAAACACACACACACACGCCGGCTTAAAGCTCCCCGCGGTTCTCTGATATCTGAGCCAGACTCACAGACAGGGTGTGTGTGTGGACAAGGGGAGGAGAGTTTTTCAGAGTCATCTCCATTTCTGCTCTCCGGGAAGAGAGGAAAGTCAACGACAGTAATCAAGAGTCATCAAATCGTTGGATTCACGCTGCGAAAAGCAGATTAGTGATTCCTTTTGCACTTTCATTTGTTGAACTTAAAAAAAGGTGTTTTTACAGAAGTAGCTGACCCCAAAAAAACTAAAAAAAAAAAAAGCTCCAGAAAATAAAGTATTATAAAACATAAGGACCAATTAAATGAAAGAAATAAGAAATAATATTTTGCTTTTAGACAATGAAGAGCTTTATTAAGAGCTTTTGCATTCTGACAATATTATCATAATGAAAATAATAATAATTATTATTATTAATATCTTTCAAATATATATTGTCAAACTTGTTGAAACTGTAAACTATTTATAGATAATCTACAGATTTTTGACAATATATCTGAATGATAATAATTATAATTATTATTATATATTGATCAAAATAATCAAACTGTAATCTATTTGCACATAATGTAGATTTTTTTTAAATATTATTCATAATATATATTCAAATTAATAATAAATGTGTACTATTATTATTAGTTAAAAATAACTACTAATAATTGTAAAGATACAATACTTAATAATAAGAAATGATTGTTATTGTAATTATTATAATAATTATACATTGCCAAATATACATTGCATTTATTGTACTGAATTTATAGTCAATTTACAAATAAATTCTATTCATAAATCACTTTTGAATAAAATACGTTTATTTATGAGTTAATTTATAAATAAATATAATCTATATATAAATTAACTTAGCAGAGTGGACTTAATTAAAGGTTAATTTAAATGAAATTAATTAATAAAAATAAACAAAGAAATAAATAGTTCAAATCATTTGTCATCAACTACCCAGCAATTACCTATTTAAATTTTGGTCCATTACGCACACAAAAGCTATGATTTGACTGCACAAGTTATCTCGACTACTGTTATGATAGATTTATTTGTGCTTTTGCATCTTTTTTGGAGCTTGACAGCTGAGCTGTTGACAGCACTATTCGTTGTATGCAAAAGAGCAGCGAGAAGATTCAGCCTACTTTTGTTTCGCACTGAAGAAAGAAAGTCATATGGGTTTGAAACAACATGAGGGTGAGTAAATAATGACAGTTTTTGGGTGAACTGTCCCTTTAAGGAGAAAAACAGACTACTTCAGCAAGTCCTCAGGGGTTTTTCTGAGAGCATTTAAAAGACAAAGAGAAAAGAAAAAAAAGACAAGGTAGAAAGAGAGAAAAAGAAAAGAGAGAGGTCACAGTGAGACAGTAAATGTGATTAATTACAGCTATGAGCACCTCACTGATCCCAGCATGCTTTGCTGCCTTGGGTGTCTTATCTGCGCTGTGGCAGAGCGACACGCTGAGAGCGTCTCCAGGCATCTGAAGTTGCTCTCTGGCAACAAAACTGTCTCGTACATCTTTACTCACATTGTGCGAAACATGACCGAAAATAAAAAGAGGCGCTCCCTCTGTTGAAATGCATTCTGGGTAAGTCACCGCACAAACACAACACTTCAGACACTTCAAGAGAAAGTGTGTTTGACTCTTCAAGTCAAAATGTGACTGGTGACAAAACATACGATAAAACATGTCTGGAGGTCCCAGCAGCTTCAGATCCGAACGCTCACATGACTCACAATAAAGCGATTTTATGAAGATGCTTGGTAGCAAGAAAGCATAAAGTGTGCGTATTAAACATAAAACACACTTTTGAGTGAAAACAAATGCAGGTTCACCAAACGTTACTGTCTCTGGACGCTCTTGGTGAATGTAAAGTACCCTGATGAAAAAAGAGCATATGCTGGTTAGGTATGTTTTGAAGCATGGCTGCTGGTTTGAGCTGGTTTCAACTGGTTCTAACCTGGTCATGTGCTTATGACCAGCTTAAACCAGCTCAAACCAGCAGTCATGCTTCAAAACATACCTAACCAGCATATGCTGGATAGTCCAAGAACTACGATAGTTTGGCAAACAGTATAAAACGTGTGTTTAAAAGTGAGGTTGTGTATTGAGACGTACTCCACAGCGCTCTTGTAGACGTCAATGGCTGTCTCTGTGTCGCCCTGCAGTAAGTGGATTTTTCCCAGCATCATGTAGGTCAGATCGTGTTTATTCAGCTGCAATGCCAAGTTTAACTGTTCTTCGGCCTGAAGACAGAGAGAGAACATGTTTAGCACAACATCAGATGAGGACATATGAAATAAGATTCTCTCAAATAAATGAAGACTATCCTCTGCCAAATCTGGAAGCTTTCATACAGCCAATAAAAGAAAAGGATGTGTGTTAAAAAAATGTATATACTGCAGTAACATGGCAAATATCGAAAAAAAAATAAACATGACTGGCTGCACTTACACTCCTGAAGTCTTTGGTGTAGATGTAGCAAACGCCCGAATCTTTCATACAGCCAATAAAAGACAAGGAAGAACGTTAAAAATGTACTGCAGTAATATGGCAAATACTGATTAAATCCTGACTGACCACTAGCTGCACTTACACTCTTGAAGTCTTTGGTGTAGATGTAGCAAACGCCCAGATTATGGCTGATTTCCTGCAGGTAAAAATAATCACACTTTTATGTAATATTTCACAGGCATCTCATTTGTTTATTGTCAAACTAAAGTACAGGTGATTACAGGTAAAGTGCACACACACACACACACACACACACACACACACACAAATCCATATCACACCAGGCCTGTGGAATTAAAAACCTGCAATCTAAAGAATATACTCTTTTCCGTATAATAAAAGTGAATGGAAACCGGCTGTTAAGAGGACTCCAAACTAAAATTTAAATAAATATAATAATAATAGTAAATCAAAACAACTAAATAAAATACACAAAAAAATATATAAAAAATAAACCCTAACTCCTAACCTAACAATTTAAATAAATAAAAACGAAATACACACAAATATAAAATATAAGCCGATATAAACTCTGAATTTAACTATAAATAAATTATAATAATTAAATACTAAATAAATAAACCAATAAATCAATACAATAAAAAAGACACATTCCTAAACACAACTCATATAATATTAAATAAATAAAATAAATATAGTAAATAATAATAGAATAGAATAACTAATAATAAATAACTAAATAAGTACATAAAACAGACAAAAAAAAAATTCAACCCTAACTGCTAACTTAACAAATTTAAATAAATAAACAAAATATACAAAATATAAACTATAAGCCCTAACCCCTACTATTTAAATAAATAAATAAATTAAACACTGACTTAACCAATAAATAAATAAAAAATAAAAACCCTGATCCTAACTTAACCATTTAAATAAATGTTAAAAAAAACTAGTGCTGACATCACGATTAATCGCATCCAAAATAAAGGTTTTTGTTTATGTATTATATGTGTGTGTACTGTGTATATTTATTCCGTATATATAAATACACACACATACAGTATATATTTTGAAAATATTTACATGTATTTATATATTCATATATTTTGTATTATATATAAATATATTTAATATACAAATATAACATATTTTTAACTGACTTAACCTTTTAAATAAATTACTATAGACACTGATCCTAACTTAAACATTTAAATAAATATGTAATATATATATATATATATATATATATACTGTCATTGTATGTAAAAGAGCTGTGTGAAGATATTTGCACATATGGGTTTGGAACAACATAAGAGTGTGCAAATAATTAGAGTTTATTCATTTTTGGGTGAACTAACCCTTTAATTACACACTCATCAGACAGCACTCAGGACAGAGGAAGTGTACTTACCCAGTCTTTCTGATTGAGACGTGCTGCTTCATTATAAACCTCGATAGCGGCTTTGTGCTTCCCTAGCAGGAAACTAAACACAGAGTAAACAGTTCATAAAATAACACGTATCTTAATTTTCTATTCAGTTTACACAGATCCAGACCAGGTTAAATAGACACACCACATAAATACAGAGAGAGGTGTTTTTGAGATTTTAAACAGTGGTGGTGTGTGTTTGGGCTGCTGCTTACAGGGATCGTGCCACTTGCTTGAGGTTGTCTGAGCTTTTGGGGTTGAGGATGGCACAACTCTGGAACAACTCCAGAGACTGCTGGATCTTCCCCTCTAACCGCATGATCAGAGCTGCACACACAAATACAGAGCAGGTATTCACCAGGATAAACTGGGACACTGGGAAAAGAGCACTAGTGTACTGCTCACTGCACAGTATACTGTGTACCGCATACTACTGTTTAAATCTAGTATGTGAAACAGTGTTGAGTATCATTGATATACTATTGCAGTTCTTTTTAAGATTTATTTTTGGTGCTTAATGCCTTTATTTAGATAGGACAGTAAGTTGACAGGAAGCAAAGTGGGAGAGAGAGAGGGGGGGGTGTGATCGGGAAAGGTCCAAGAGTCGGGACTCGAACTCGGGAGTTCATGTCTGCGGCTATGGGCAACGACAGTTTTTGTTATTATTTTATTTTTATAATTTTGTTTTCACTTTAATATTAAAGTTTTCGTTTTTTCTTTTTCATTTGTATCATTTTATTTGGCTTTTTATTCATTTTTAAATATTTTTTTGTTTTTTACTAAGTCTATAATTTTTTATTAATTTTTATTTATTACTTTCAGTTTCTTTAGTTTTAGTTTTTTTAGTACTTCAGTTTAAACTAAATGAAAATGAGAAATGTTGCCTTGGCAACTCGCTGAAAATTAAGTTTATATATATATATATATATATATATATCGATAATTCTATTTCAAGCAATTAAAATGTTTTTTTTTTAATGTTTTTAGTTGCAGTTAACTTTAATAACCCTGATGTAAAACAGTGACTTTAAACACTTGTATACTACAATGTCACATGACTTCATTAAGCTGCATGTTCCAATTATCATAAACATTATAATATTTTTAGTATCTTGGCCATTTTTGCAATTGTAATTTTGGGTAATTCATGCATATTGACATTCAAAAACGATGTAGATGCAGCACTCGATTATGCCATTTTGCACATCTGAGACTCAGTCTGACCACTTTAGAGTAATTTAATACATTTACACTTTTAAGACTCGGTTTACTGTGTAGTTTACACTGACCTTGCACATACACAGCATATTCACACATGCCTTGGGTTTCATGCAGCTGTTCTTTAATAACGGCCTGAAAACAGAAGATACACAAATCATTTAACATTATTAAGAGTATTCTACAGCAATTAAACTCTCTCTGTAGATTTTCTGACTTTACCTTGCAGGTCTCATAATCTTTGCGGATATAATGCAGATGTATAAGCCAGTTTCTCCTCTCCAGAATCGGAAGCTCAGGAGCTGCAGACAGAAGAAAAACATACAGAGATGAATGTATATACGTATGCAACAATGTATAGTGGTGCACAAAAGAGCTTAGACACTTAAAACATGTCTGAATGTCATTGCAAATGCTGCAGGATGTTATAATGTTCATAAATGTGTTTGAATCAGCTGGTTTTGTATCAAACCTGACAATCTGTCAAATGTTTTGCTTGTAAAGTTTGATTGTGCAACATTCTTTACAATAAAAGACACTTGCTTTGATATTTCGTATGTAACGCAAGGACATTCAAACATTTTAAAGTTTGACTCAACTGTTCAGAAACTTTTTAGGCCAGAGATTAAAGAGATGTTTCATCTTGTGTAGGACATTAACTGGTCTAATCATGAAAATGCAAATATCAAAGGCGGCATTGAAAATTTGCAGAAAACAGTTTCTATTTTGGATATATAGGGCAGACGGGCTTGCTGTGAGCCGCAGCGGACTCTTCTCGCAGTGGGGGGCCACACAAGACTCCTCGTCCCAAATCCAGCGGGCCCCAGAACAAAAGGAGCCTGTCCGCTGCAACATGAAGCGTCTGCATCTTTCTCCTCTTGCTTACAAGCCCCCTGGCAAAATCTGATCTCAATCCGTTCTATTCCTGGACAGACTTTTCCCTCTGAGCCATAATCCTCTTCACTGAAAAATGGGGCAGAAGGGAAAAATAAAGGCAAACAGCGCCACCCACAGGATGAACGGATACACCGATGTGAACCATGAAAATGCTTGTTTGGTTTTGCAGTACTTAATAAATCAAAACTGAATTTTTTAATTCTTTAAATTATTAATATATATATAGACTCCGGAGATTCTGACCTTTCTTTGGACGAGGTTTCTTGAGGTCTGTGGCCACAGGCAGCTGCACATCCTACACAAAGAAAAAATTTAATATATTAATCAAATTCCGTGTGCTGCAATGAGCATTAGCCCATTTTTGTATTTATATTTACATATTCATATACGTTTTTCTCTTTAATTCATCCTTTTACATGAATTCTCTTTCTGTTTATTGTATTTATTATTTATTTAGGAGCAGAAATCACCTTACTGTTGTGCATTTGATAAAATAAATGCTTACTGCTGACTAATATTATGCATTTTAATATTTAATATTTTGCAATAATCATAAAAAACGAATTATCTGAAGAAATTATCATAAGAAACTAATTATAAACTAATATATATATTTTTTTTAATCAGAATGAACACATTTAACAAATGCCACCATGATTTATAAATAATTTACATTACATAAATTTACTTTTATTACAGTGATGACAATATATGTGAGAAGTAATGTGCTTAATTGTCATGAAAAAATATGCCAGAATGCAAGAGATCTTAATGGTCCTAATATAAACTTGATTTTCTTTATGTAAAGCTCATTTTCAATCTTTCTTTGACAGGCTTTGCTGTTCAAGATTAAACGAAATATTAATAAAATATACCTTTGTTATTTAAAACGCCTATCTGTCCGATTGTTTTCTCTTTGCAGATATATTTAATCTGACGAGCAACTAAATAACACAATAACGAAGAACAGCGGTTACCGACTACCATAAAGAAGATCTCTGTTCATATCAAAGGTATTAAATATCACGAGTTTTTGTGTTTTAATGAAAATAAACACCATTTCTCACCGTTTTCATCGCGTCGTCCGCCATCGCGCTCCCTTCCTCCTCACTTCCGGCGGACGCTTCTGTCACTATGGCAACACCGTGACGTTCGTCACCACGTGATTTTTCATATATGAAACTCACTCCAGCATAGAAATTATTTCCAGTTGTAAAGGCTTACATGATTATCTAAAAATACCGTTATAAAGTCCATTATGTATTTACAGCCACTATATAGTAGATATATTGAGAATTCTGGAAGATTACTTTATTAGAATTATCAATGGTGAAGAATTGTAGGTAAATCTGCATGCACATTATGAACATAATAAACAAGTAATAATTTGTTACACAAAAGTCTCTCTCAAACTATAGATAGTTAGTTTAATTCAGACAAAGGTGTGCAAAATACACAACGGAATTATTTCAAGCCATTTCTGAGCAAATCATCTGCAGAGGTTGAATAGCACAGTCATAATAACACATGGACGACGAAAAGGAAATCCTGAGAAGATGAGAGCTACATCAGAAGATTTTTCATGCCATCTGATGAACATAACACATAATTAAACTTGATAAACTCAGGGATGGAAAATCGCACATTCAGCATGATCCGGTCAAGAAATTATACCCCATGATTGTCAAATAAACGTTTTACAAAGAGACATGGATTGTTACAAACATATTTAATGGCTATCATTTTTATATTTGTGACCCTGGAGCACAAAACCAGTCTTAAGTAGCACAGGTATATTTGTAGCAATAGCCAAAATACATTGCATGGGTCAAAAT